GGTATGTCTCCGCCGATCTGCGATGGGCGTGCCCGCGCGGACATGGTGTCGCAGTGCTTGATGCTTACAGTCTGTGCTAGTTATCTTCCGAATCCGTTCATTTGAATAGAGTCATTGTGGGATAGAACCTACCAGGTAAGTGGCCCTTCTCTCAGCGTCTCGCGCCACCCGAATGCTGTCGTCGCCCTCGTTGGCCGCCGCATCAGGTTTGCGGCCTACGTCAGGCTCTGCAATGTAGTGTACCTGCGTGCAATGCCATGAGACTGACGATGTCGAGTAGGGTATACTGTTCTTCTCCCGATAGATCTGCTTTGAGCATCGAGCTCCGCGTCGCGTAATTCTTCTAGACAAAGTCCTGTTAACTAGGTAAGCAGAGTCACTTTCATTCTTGTCCTTGCTGCAGCTGTCCCCATCGTCTGCTGCCTCTGTGAACGCACTGCTGGTGGGTGGGTGATGTTGTGGAGAATGTCGAGATGTGTTCCGGCGTTGGCGGAGTTGAGGTTGTGGGGAAGTAGGCCAACGCCAGCGACATCACGCACAGCAATGCACACCATTCTGAATATGTATGAGCGCTGCATCTGCCTCACAAGAGTTTCTGCATATTATCTCGAGGGGCAGAGCTGCGTGCATCGAATTCTTGATGGATGTCCAGGTGGTGTGTGTGTGGGCGGGGAGGCAGCAGATGAGTCCTCCTGAGCTTCAGCAGTCGGACAGCAGCATGTGTTCATTCCTAAGTCTCTACAAAGAGTACTACTGGGAGCAAATGAAGCTTTCTGGTTTCTTCTTTCTGTCATCTATCTACCCATATTTCCCCTATTCCTAGTGTTCCCTGCTAAGACGACGATGGCGGACAGTAATCTCTAAAGCCATCTGTGCACGGCGCTCCTGCCTTCAGCATCACCGACAGTTCTTTCCTCCAGTATCTCAAGGCGGTAATAGAACCAGCTGACCGTCCGCTCTCAGTTCTGACTGATAAAACCCCGCCTCCGGCACCATTTCCTGCTTCCTCCACCCACCATCTTTGCCATCATCTCTCCCTACAAACCTCATTTCGCTCTTCATCTACTCTTGCTCGCCTCTGAACGTCATTCGACATCAGGGAGCGCGTTTGAAGCGTCATAAAGCGTAACTGCCAGCCTTCGCTTCAGCTATCGCCCCTCAGAAGGTGCCACGTCAAACTGCCTTGAGAGGCAGCTGTGAGTAGACCAACGGCAGTATACACGCCTGGAATTTGATCCGCTTCACATCTCCAATATCTACCGTCAAGGTATGCATCTCCGTCCTATCATGTCCTTCTTCCTGTGCATGCCTGGCGAACATCATGTTTGCATAGTGGGTATATGCCATTGCGATACCCCACTCATTCTCCAACTTTACCGCCTATCTTTACCGTTTGCCTTGACCTCTGCCTTTACCTGCCTCACCCTTAATACCCCGCCCCTTACCGCCTCTTCTAAAGATGTCATCGCTAACACGTGGCACGTTCCGCTTCACAGGTGAAGGAGACTTATAGACACACTGCCAGCCTAGACGTTACATTTTCTTGCACACCTAGTCACAAGAAGAAGCATCTACGCTGTGCATCAAGACACTCCCCTATTCATCGACCATCTCCATTTCTTCTAGACTTCAAGGTTCGTGTGCCAATTGTTCTGGTGTCTTCAAGGACGTTGCTAATGTACCTGAGGAAGACCATTCATCATGAGTTCCAACACATACAAGGGCGGTCTCTCTGTTGGCGGCTCGGCTCTCGACAAGTCGAAGTTGCAACTGCGTCGTCCAACCCCTGATAGCGATGTCTTGGCGTCCAGCGACGATGACCGAGAGCACGTGGCAGTGCCCGTTCGACATGCACCTGGTACATACCCCCTTGCAGTTCGTCGTCCTTCCTCTGGTTGGCTGCAGGATATACAGCCAAACCGGAAGTTCTCGCTCCCTTCTGTGTCGTTTGCCGGCTCGCAACCAACCACGCCGTCTCTCGAGCTTCCCCAGCAGTCACGGCCCAGCACTTCATCATTCCCCTGGAATACACCGAGCTTCAGCGGCTTAGTCAACAACCGTTCGAAGAACGAGATTGCTCCTTCCCCCACCTCTGCTTTCCCCCCCACCGACAACAAGCCTATTCCCTCCCCCACAACTATTGAAGGCGACGACGGCAACGGCATTGGTTTTCTTCTTAACCAGCAAGCACCAAACCCCTTCCGCAAGGCCGTCCGATCCCAATCTTATAGTATAGGACAAGGTGACATCGAGCACAGTCCTGTCAGCCGTTTCTCGCGCAATCCTAACACCAGTGCCAATCTTCGTCATCGCCCGTCCAAGCCGAGCCTTCTTGGTGAGTCTGCTGTCGGCCTTTCGCAGCTGCGTGAAGACGAAGCCGACGAGATCGAGTCGTCCAACGGCTCAGAGCACGGAGTCCGTCTGCCTGCCGGTTACTGGGAGCGTGAACAGAAGCAAGCTTTACTCAAACAAGCCGCGATGGAGAACGCACGCGCTCGCAACCGGGCTACCTCTACTGGCTCTCCTGTCAAGCAGATGCAACAGCAACGCCGCCAGACTACTGCCGGTCTGCGCAACACCTCATACAACATCGCTGGAGAGTATGCCATCGAAGAGCTTGACGACGCTGAGCCTCCGATTAACCGTCCTGCCCCGGGTCTTACTCGCCGCTTCAGTGAGCACGTCGGTGTTCTGACTCGCGATCACGAAGTCGAGATTGTCGACAGCCCTCAGAAGCCGCAGTGGACCACAGGCAACATCTCACCTGCTGAGATGGATCCCCTCGGTCGTCGCCACTCATTCGCTCACTACGGCAGCTACAATTCCGCCATGCCTCTCTCGACCTTGAGCAACACCCAGGAAGAGGAAGAAGAGTACGTGTCGCCTCGCCAGACCCCGCCAAACAAGGACGACGAGCCCTTTGACGCGTCTGCCTACTTCACCGGCTACGGCCCTGCATCGCGCGCCATCAACTCCTCTGCCATCTCAGCAGCTCACCCAGACCCGGTCGTCCCTAACCCCGCCATGTCTGCCAACCCCTACGCCGTTCCTCCGAGAATTGGTAATCCCACCCGCCGCTTGTTCATTGTCACCTTCAAGTGCTCGCGTGCCGATATCTATTACCTTTACGATAACACCGGTCTCGAGATCCGCCGTGGAGACCTTGTCATTACCGAGGGCGACCGCGGATGCGATCTGGGCCAGATCACCCATGCCGACTTGACTATGGAGGAGGCTAAGAAGCTCAAGGCCGAGGCGAACGAGGAGCACTTCCGCTGGCTCGTCATGTTCTCGCAGTACTCCCTGGCCGGCACTCAGAACGACTCTGGTATGTTGGGCGCGCTTGCGCGTGCTAATGGCTTTCCCAACCCCATGAGCCGTACTCCAGTGACTGCTTCGGGTGAGCCTGAGCCGTTCAAGCCCAAGATGATCAAGCGCCTTGCCCAGGCTCACGAGATCTCTGCACTTCGTGAGAAGGAGGGTGGAGAGGCCAAAGCCAAGCGCCTTGGAGCTCAGAAGGCTGCCGATCACAAGCTGCCTATGGAGATCCTCGACGCTGAGTATCAGGCGTAAGTCAATCACTTCCATGTTCTTATCAACATCATGCTAACACATCCAGTGATTACCACAAGTTGACTTACTTCTACTACGCTGAGTCGTACGTCAACTTCAACGAGCTCGTCACCGACCTGTTCAAACAGTACAAGGTGCGCATCTGGATGTCGGCTGTCAATCCCGCATCCGTTATCAACCCTGCCGGTGGTGCTCAAATTCCACCCCCTTCGGCCATCGGACCTGGTGCCATCATCAAGAACAGCAATCAAAACGCCCCTCCCTCTGTTGGCCCAGGCTTTGGCAACAACACGCATCACACTGCGCAGCAGTACGGTAAGTCCCCCTTCGCCTCCTGGCTGTAATATCGTGTCACTAACTGTTCATCAGGTCAAGGTCAAGCGCGCAACCATGGCAACTATGGCAACTACGATGATGGCTTCCATGCATTCTCTCACCAGATCCCTGCATACCCCACCCAGCCGTCCTACAACATGCAGCAGACATGGGCTCATGGACAGCAGATGGGTCGCCAGCAAATTTATCCGGGCTACTACCCCAACGTCACCGCGAGCGGCAGCCCCATGAACTATGGAGGCGGAGGCTACTATCCACCATCGACCTACGCTTCGTCCTATGGAGGAGGCTATGGCACTGCTACAACCACCGCAGGATACGCTGCTTCGCGAAACTACACATCCAACACCGGTCAGTCTTTCGGTGTCCAGCACCCGTCTTCGTACACCTCTGGCGCGGGCTACGCCAATGCCTATGGCAACGCCTCATACACCTCAGGTGCTCCTGGCGGCTACTACGGCACATCAGGTGGACACGGTAATGGTAACCCTGGCGCCTACAACGGTGCCAACACTGCTACTTCTGGAGGTCGCCCTACCACTGGCACTGACCCTGCCCTACTGAGTGGCATACAGAACATGTCATTCGGTAACTAGGAGACTTTGGTGAACTCAAAATGAGAGAGGTTTCGGGATTTTCTTTCGGTTTATTTTGATCATTGTGCGCTATTTTCTTTTCACTTCTTCATCATATCTCATGATTCCACGGTTGCTTGCTTTCACTTACCCAAAAAATTCCCCATGATGCGTGTAGTTTAGTCGGATATATGCCATATGGCGAAATCAGAATGCTTTGGCACCAATGTGTTCTTTCATGAGTGAATGTGTTGGTATCTGTCAGGCCTAGATATCAGTGTGATGTTACCGCTGACAGAAACCCTGAGGACCTCCTGGCCTAGTTATCACAAATTTTCCAAAGGCTGGAAGTTTTTTGAACGTCTCCAGGCTGTACCTGAACACTTATAGTCTGGTGGTTTGCGCATTCCCTGACAACCTCCTGGGCTAATTCTTGGTTTTCTTCTGAAGCTTGAGAATGGTGTGAAGACCTACAGGCGTCAACAGCTCCTTCCTCCCACCTCACTCATCTCAACCATGGCACGACAACGTGCCAGGTCTCCTGCGCCCAAGAGCCAGCAGGTACTCGCACTCAGTCGCGTTCTCGAGAAGCCAAAGAACAGTGGCGTAGATGTGCAGCACTTCCGCGCAACGATAGTGGAGGACCAGAAGAAGCTTAACGGACTGATTGCAAAGCGGAAGCTCCAAGCGTAAGACAAAGCCTTGAATATTTGCAGGAGCTACTATGTATCTGGTTCGACTACTAACGGCTGCTGTAGCAACAAGCAAGAGCAACGCCACCGCGATGAACTCGCAGCCACCATCCTCGAAGCCCTGCGAACCCCGAATCAACCCGTGAAAAATGGGTCAGCAAACTTCAAAGGCACTCGTATCGCTGGAAACGCAGTCTACGCCTCCGTCACCACCATTTTGACGGCATCCTCAGGCCTCGTGAACGAATACCGAAGGCTAGATGACATGATTACGAAATTACGAAACGAGCAGCCTGCGACTCTGGCAGACACATGGAAGCAAGATGTCGAGGATACAGACCGGCAGCTCAGGAGGGGAGCTCGCGTTGCATTGAGAAATGTGAAGAAGGTGCTGGGTGCTGATGTAGAGGATATTGTAATGGGTGAGGCGGATGAAGATGGGGACGTGGAGATGGAGGGCGGAGAGGAGGTTGAGCTTAACTACGAGTTGAGGAAGAGTTTAAGGTATGCGGAGAGGGGTGTTAAGAGGATGGTGAAGGGGTTGCCCGTGGGCGATGGATGTTAGGCATAGGTGACGCTGTGCTGTAGTGTTCGAGGTAGTATGTGGACGGGCAAGACGAATGCGCATTCTCTCAGACACAGGTTTTCGCATTAGGCCCAAGTGGCGTAGCATGTACAACGATAAGTACAGGCCCTGACGCAATGGCTCTCGTCCTCCTCTTCTCTTCGCTCGTAGCTGGAAAACAATGTGCACACAATCTCAATTATCGTGTTCGCATCTTCTCAGGCCTGTGTCATGCTCTGCCGAGAGTCGCCCATGGGATTTTGTGAGCGACTCATGTCGGTCTAGCGCGATGCCTCGTCAAGTTAGCGTGTAGCACAGGCCACCCGCCCACAGAACCGAAATCAATATCGAATCTTTTCGCAACCTCAAGCACGACAGCGTCGACAATCTACTAACCAACAGTCAAGATGGGTGCCCTCAAGTATGTCGAAGAACTTCAGAAGAAGAAGCAGTCGGACATGATGCGCTTCTTGATGCGCGTTCGCGTACGTATTCTACCACAATTGTGCTGGGATATAGAACTCTGCTAACATTGCGACAGTGCTGGGAGGTATGAACATCCTGAGACTCAGTCTCAATTGATGTACTCGTTGAACTTTGCTGAGAGTGCATCGATAGCTTCGCCAACTTAAGGTCATCCACCGCGCAAGCCGCCCCTCGCGCCCCGACAAGGCCCGCCGTCTCGGATACAAGGCCAAGCAGGGTTACGTTATCTACCGCATCCGCGTCCGCCGTGGAGGTCGCAAGAGGCAGGCTCCCAAGTAGGTGCTTCACAATCTGAGAGAAGAGAAGAATGCTAACATGTGGTTTCTAGGGGCGCCACCTACGGTACGCAGCACGCAGTCGATTGGATGTGGGGAACGAAAAACTGACAACTGAACAGGAAAGCCTACCAACCAGGGTATCAACCAGCTCAAGTACCAGCGCTCCCTCAAGTCCACCGCTGAGGAGCGTATCGGCCGCCGCTGCGCCAACCTCCGCGTCCTCAACTCCTACTGGATCAACCAGGACTCCACCTACAAGTACTACGAGGTCATCTGCGTCGACCCCCAGCACAAGGCCATCCGCCGCGACCCTCGCATCAACTGGATCGTCAAGCCCGTCCACAAGCACCGCGAGGCTCGTGGTCTCACCGCCACCGGCAAGAAGAGCCGTGGTCTCGGCCGTGGACACAAGTTCAACAACACCAGCGCTGGCCGAAGGAAGACCTGGAAGAGGCACAACACCCTCTCCCTCTGGCGCTACCGTTAAATGCATTGAGCATGTGGTGTGCTTGGTGCAACGTCTGGTCGATTGTTTTCAGCGTATGGGCTGGCGTGAATGGAATAGGGTATCCTGGGCTACATAGCATAGCTTCCGAGCGGCATAAAAGCTGTCAGGACTTTCAAAATCAATACCATGGATTCATGATCTTTACGAAGACAACACTTAAGCTCTGTATATTGATGAAGTGTTTGTATGCCGGATGTGAAGAGAATGTTCCGTAAAGAGACACGGCACTAAGCTCAAATCTGGCGAGTATGCCTTGCTTGGTTGTAGCCAAGAGAAGATACATGGACTTTCACATGGGTAGCTGACCGGTACCGGTAAAACAGCTGCACCATCGACGTCAGATGTGATGCCAAAGCAAGCTGTGTGCGCCCATATCTACTGTGACATTCAACGTGCATGCTAGAATAGAAGTGCGATATAAAGAGTCTTGGAGAGGCCAGAAGGTGATCAGCCAGGGTGTTGCTAGCAGGCTGTGGCAAGCGTTGCCTGGGATAAGGCCGACTGTAATCAGAACTAAGCGGCCCCTCTCGAGCCAAAACACAGCCCAACCCATAACACATGCAGCACCTGGACGCCAGCGCAACAAGCGGCCAAAGCTCCAATAGACGCAAAGGGTACACACACCTCTCTGCAACACTGACGACATGCGGCTGACGAGCTGAGTATCCAGACTTTTGCTGTCATCGTACTGTTGTTCTACTTCCGATACACAATGTCCCGACGTCCACGCGCGCGACCGAGCATCATCATCTGAGCAGCACTGCCCTGCGACCAAGCAAGGCAGTGAAAGGGCGACACCTACCAGGCTGTTTGACGACTACAGCTGCCTACAAGAGTAGGGCGGGCGCACTGTGCAAAAACTTGCTTGCCTCACCTCTCCAATCCCGCCGCAAACACCGCCGCCATGGTCATCAAAGCCGATCCCTCGCGAAACTACTATGCCGACCTAAAGGTCCCCGCCAACGCCAGCGAAAACGAGATCCGCAAGGCCTTCCGGACGTTGGCGCTGCAGTACCACCCAGACCGAAACCCTGGACGCGAAGCCGAGTTCGTCATTCGCTTCCAAGAAATCCAGGCCGCCCACGAGATACTGTGCGATGCACCTTCGCGAGCAAAGTACGATTCCGACAGAAGGAAACATCGCAATACCTCAGCTCCCGGTAACACACCGAACCAAACGAGAACGAGGCCACCGCCGCCGTCACGGAACGCATACTCTACTACCGCCCCTCAGGGAACCTACTATCGTGCTCCTCCTCCGAAACCTCAGCCTCAGCCTCAGCCTCAAGCACAGCGACCGCAACCACAACACCACAGCACATACAACAACGGTGCGGACAGATTCACCAACAGGAACTTCCGCCCGCCACCAACGGCGCAACGACCGGACGCAAAGGCAAGAGATGCCGAGGCTCGGGCCAATGTCTTTACAGCATGGCAGAAGATGAAGCAGCCGCGGGGTGAGGACCCTCGGCAACACAACCCAAGTGCTCAGAGTAGTTCGCAGAGCAACCCGCAGAACAATCCCAACGGCACCCCCTTCGGGCGCAGTCAGAGTACAAGAGTCCCTTCCTCCAAAACAGGATTTGACCCCTCAACACCAGGCGTCGATGAAGGCCAGGCACGGTCAGCGTATAGGAACTATGCCCGTCCGGCTCCAACACCACCCGCGTCTACAACTCCTTCAAAAGACAGCCAAGCCGACGATGCCCCATTTTCCGAAGCAAACCGCGTTCGCACCCCGTACTACTCTCATGTAGCCGGCGAGCGCACTTCCATGTTTGAAGGAATTGGAAGGTCCTCTAGCGTGCGGAACTCACCAACTCATTCGAATGGAGCAAGCCAATCGACAGACGCTGGTGCATACTCAGACTCAGGTCGCAGAACACAGGGCAAGAAAGCCAACGCAAAGCCAAATCCTTTTGCCCACGGATATCCGGACTCTAGCGATGAAGATTCAGATTCAGATTCAGATATGATCAACAGCAGGAGCAAACACCGTGACCCGCCTCCTCCTCCACCGCCGCAGAATACAAGACTGCCTCCTCCAACCTGGGCAGAGAGCAATTTCTCGACCCCTGATCCAAAACGGCAGAGTAACGGCGCAGCGGGGAACATGCCCAACAGCTTCAAAAGCAGGAGTGAAGAAAGCATCAATATGAAGTTCTCGCCTTCGGACTGGCATGGCAAGTTCGAAGGCAGTGATAGTTACTTTGCTCCTAACATGCAAAAAGGTGCCAACGGGAAAGGCCGAGCCTCTCCAACCCGCGGTAGATCACAACGAAATGCAACGGATCGAAACCCGTTCAGCACACGGCCAATGCCGCCTCCAGTTTCGCCATTCGGGCAGCCGATACCTCCACCTCCTCCGGGGCCACCGCCTGGCATCAACTTCGCTCCGCCAAAGATGGCGCCACACACTGCCAAGTTCAGTCCACAAGACTGGCAAGAGACGTTCAAAGACCCGAACTGGGTATATACCGACGCGAAGGAGACATCGCCCCGTCGACCGTCAGAGGCTACAAAAAGGCCGAAGGCTGCACGAAAGGCATCTGTGCAACAGAATGGAGCTTCGAAGGCGCAGGAATCGACCGATGCGTCACGGTCCAAGCACCAAGCCTTTGTTGAAGAGCCAGTCAACGGCGATGTAGATGCTATGGACATTGACTCCGGGCCACCATCAAACGCAAAGCCAGCTAAGAAAGGCACACGCACAGCGCCATCGTCGCCGAAGCTGAACACAGCGGGTGTAGGTGCCATGCCAAATGGCTCTGCTACCGCGCCTTCTTCCGCTTCTACCGCAAAACCGCCTGATGGAGGACTGAACAGTCTTGGTCCAGACATGATAAATCCGGTTGTCCAGCCTCAAACTAACGGACTCTCTGGCATGGGCTCCCTTGTAGACGCAATCCCATTCCCATCCCAGGCTTCCAACTCACATCCCGTCAAAGCCAACGCTGCAAAGAACCTCAAGTATCCCGAAATACCTTATGCACCTGCCCCACCAGCCAAGGTAGATTTGGACTCTGCAAATTCCTATTTCGACCGCATGCGCACCTACGTCAAAGCATACCGAAACTACTGCAAGATCCTTACTGGCCACTTTGCCTCGCGAAGCAATGAGATGGAGGACCTAGACGACAACTTTATCCACAACCGCGGCGAAACAACGAAGAAGCTTGGATTCGCAAGTTATCTGGCTAAGATGGAGGAAGACGAGAGTGTCATGGAGACATGGAAGCTTGCACAGGAACGCCACATTATTGCGCTGCAACAGTGTGAGGATGTGCGGAACAAGACTATGAAGCTGTACCAGACCCTGCAGACCTGAGTTTTGTCGTTTCGACTGCTTCAATCCAGTCTGCGGGTGTGCTGACATCGATTTAGTAAGAGCTTCTGTCAAGGAGAAGACAGACGCCGCGACGTCGTTCAGAACATGGTCGAAGAGATGACGGGGTTTACGATCAAAGAGACCCGGTCCGTGGCTTCCACGCATGCGGCATCGCCACGGAGGCGTACGTCTAGCTCTGTTCTCGGTATGAGGATCTCAAGTGCGCTGAGGACTTCCGCTTATAGTAGCCCACCATCCAATTTGGATGGTGGTGATGATAGTATTGAGATGTTGATGGCGAGAAGTGCGGAGAAGCCGAAGCCGTTGCTGGCAAGAAAGAAGAAGTATCATGTCCTTGTGTAGTAATGATGGCGTTTTCGGGCCGAGCATAAAATAC